GCTGTTGGGAGAAGGGGGTGTAGAGAGCGGTTGGGGCAGGCAAGGGACAGGGAACGGGGGGTTAGATTGGTCGGGGGTTCTGGGGGGCTGTCAGGAGAAGGGGGCGTAGAGAGTGGTTGGGGCAGTCAGGGGACAGGGAGGCTTAGATAGGGGGTGGGGGGTCTCAGGAGGGGACAGGTAGGGGGTAGGGGAGTTCTGAGGGGGGCAGGGCTAGGGCAGCACCCCATGTCCTCTTTTTTGATTGTTGAAATATGGTAACCCTACCTGATACCTCCCACACTACTTCTGATTCTGATCAAACACTACATGTAAGTTCAGACTCTAAGCAATTAGTTTTCAAAGTTACAGTTTTGCACCGTTTGGCCTCCAGCTACATTGGTGTAAATGCATAGTAACTACTTCATGTCAGTGGAGTTAGTCTTTTTACACAGGTATAAAAGATTAGTATCGAGCCCCTTCCTTATGTGTTTCACGTTTCTGGCACATCCACAAAGATTCTTCTACATTTAGAAATAGTTTCACATTAAACAGATTCTTCTCTTTAAAGACTCAGTACAATGAACTGTCAATGTTCAGGACTGTCAAGCGAGAATCAAGTTTCTTCTTAGTCTCAGAACTTCCAGCTACAGCATAGGGAAGGCACAGGGTGCTTGCAGCCTTCTGCCTATTTTTGGTTCCCCAACTTAGAAAGGACAGTTTTGGAGTGGCTTTCTTGGTCTCGTTGATTTTATCCTCTTCCATGGCTAAGCAGATCAAGGAGTATGTCTTTTGCATTCCCACAGAGTAAGTGGCACTCTTATTATGCTGTAGGAAAAGGAATGGGAAGAGGAAGCATTGATTTCTTTTTTTTTTTAAATCATCCATGAGGGTTAGACATACTGAAGATAAAAGTTTGCACAGTGTGTGAATCATTTTCCAAGTCAGACTGTAGTATTCTTCTGCATTAATCACATTCTAACTGAATACAAGCCCATCCAGAGTGCTGAAGATTGAAGTATTTTGCTTATGTCTGGATACAAGTGACACAAAAGGCAAATAAATCATAATGAGAGGTGTCCTCTGGTGAATCTTTCTGCAAAGATTGTCTGAAAAGTGTTAAATATAATTCTAGATCCCAATAAGAGTTGTCAAGGGAAATGGAATAATTGTGTGAGTAAACTGGCTTTGCAAAGAGCTCTCCACGGATATCCTCTTTTCTTGGGCCTCAGAGCACAAGAGTGCCTGCTACTACAGGCTGTAGGGTTTGCCTTGTAGCCCCAGTGAGCGTTCACCAGGCTGGCCCCCAGCTCTTCTCCCCAGTGCTACAGGGGGAGCTGCAATGGGACACTCCTCTAAGATGCTCATAAGGTAGAGTCCCCTATATGGCTTATCCACAGCCACATCCTGCAGCGATTCCATTGTATTCCAGCCTTTTGTTCTGGCAAAAGGCTGGGGAGGGGAGGTGCCAGGTTGTTCTTGGCTATTACTTATACTGTGGTTGACTTATATTCACAAAAGAGAGGCTTAAACCTGGGGAAATGATCAATTTATGAAGTCAAAATACAGATGGCAATAGCATGTGCCTAAAGCTTGCTGGGGAATGCTGGAAGGTATGCAGCATTAGGCTTAGCTGAACTATAGGTTCTTTATTTTGCTCACACTACAAAAATTATTTTTCTCTTGAGTTACTTAGGGTTTAACATTTTTTTTTTAAATCTTGTGATCATTTTCCCTGGGTCTAAAATTTCTATAGCAACTAAGTAACTGGATTTATATATTTTTGATTGGCAGGGTTAAAACAGTCCCTTAACCCCTAAATACATAAGTCAAGGATGCTGATCCCATCTGTTCATAGAAATAGTGGATTGAGCACATAGCCAAGAGTTGAAAGACTTGGGCTCTCTTCTCTACTCTGCCACTGACTGTGTATGTGCTTTTCAATGTGGAGAAACGTTTTTTTTCTGTCTAGTGCTACCAAATGTGGGGGTGAGGGGGGCTGGTGTTTTTTACCACTGAGTAGGTAGTGCACCCTGTCTACAGTACTACTTCCACCAGTGGAGCTGCATGGGCAGAGAAAAATGTTTACAAATATTCCCACAGTAAACATCATATGTGACCATGGGCAAGTCCATTCACTTCTTTCTGTTAGAGAGTTGCTCCATTTGTCAAGTGAAAATGACCCCACCTTTTTTAAATCACTCTGAGATGTATCCATGAAAATGCATGGTGGAAAGTGGTGGTGATACAGTATTTATAACATTTTTTCGATTTTTGTATACACAAACTAAGATGGTTTGTTTTTGGGGTTTTTTTAAGTTTAACAGTTTTGAGTTTGCAGCCAGACAGTCTGAACGATAGAATTGATTGCAAGCTATTTGGGACATAAATTGTCTTCTCGTTAGATGCACGTGCAGTAATTAGCACAATGGGGGTCTCAATCCGGTATTAGGGGTTTGTGCTACAATACAACTACAGTGTAAACTTTCAACTTAAAGGTTCAGGGAGAGGGAAAACTTGAAGACACAAACACAGGCCTCTCTCTGCACTGAAGATATTGTCTAATTTGTCTGTTGCCAGTGCTAGTAATGGTAAAGCAGCAGTGTAGACCACCTGTTATACAATACGCTGACAAAAATGCCAGCAGCCATTTTAGACTGTCGGCCTTTCCTACCATTTGTGAATATGCATGGGAGGTAAGCATGATATTTGCAGGGGGAAAGTCTAAAGTACAACCTCTACTTTCCAGTCTTGCCTATACTATGAAACAGAAATGTTAATGAAAATGGTTTTAAGCAACAGTTTTCCCAAAAGGCTTAAGTGCTAGAACCAAATCTCTACCATGGTTTCTGACACAGTAGTAAACTGTTTCCCACACAGTGAAACGTCTGATTCAACAGACCTCAGCAGCACTACCCAGAAAGACCACAGATTTGGTTTGATGGGTTTGTCATCAACAAAGCACGGTCCTAGTGCCCTGGCTCCATGGTTACAAATGTACTAATACATGTATGCTTGTGACAATGGACCAGCTCAGTCAGCAGCAGAAGTTTCTGCTGCCCCCTCTGCTGGACAAAGGTGCCCCTTCTATGACTTTTCCTTTCATCCATTCGTTCAAACAAGTTACGTATTACATTCCTGATGTCGTAGATTACCAATCCTATGCCTTGTATCTGTTGGTTTGAACAAAGCTTCCTCATTCTTTATCCTGTTCTGCTATCCTTGTCTTACTCAGGGTTGGTGTGTTCCTGTACTATCTCCTATGATTGTGTTTATATTATACCTCTACGTTGGCATGTATCTGTACTAGCCTTCTGGAATGTGTTTACATGAGTACGTAGTACTTCTTAGAAGTGCCTATGTTTTAGCAATGCTTGCCATGCCTTTGCTAAGTTCATGTACCAGACAGTGAACTTGTAAGCAAGCATCTGCTTTATGACAGGGTCTGACATTTGGTCATAGCATTGCTTTTGCTGACTCACATCTTGCACCAGGCCCCAGGCGCTCTCTCTAGCACAGCAGGCACTTCATGGAAGTAGGGCTCTTGAGGAAGGCATGATGCCATGGAGTGGGAAGCAGGGAGGGGGTCCATGAGCCTAGCTAGATGTCCCAACAGCTACAGGAATTCCTTGCAGAATTCAAGACCCCTCCCCCCCTTGTGTTTCAGGGCAGAGCACCATACCAATTTTGGGTCAAGGGGGGAGCTACAGAAGACAAATCTCCACCCTCATGGTCAATTTGGAAAGAAAACTAATGTAACTCTTGGAATTACCAGTCGGATTAGTCTTTGTGGAGTTTCACTGCTAAAGCTGGCAAGATGGCCCTACATATATAGGAATCACCTAGGGCCTTCATTAAGCAAAGCATTTACACATAGGCTTAACTGTAAGCATGTGAGTAGACCCATTTATCGCAATGGAATCCTTTAAACACATGTTTAACTGCTTTGCTGGATTGAGGCCTAGATTTACCAGCAATCCACGACATCTGGCTATATCAAATTAGATAGCATTCACTGCCCAAACTGAGGCAGTTTTTTCAATTTACTGAGTGTTCTTCAGGTTTAGAAAAGTAGCTGTCTCATTACTTACCACAGAAGTCATCGTATCCTGACAGCTAATAACCTTCATCTCAATGTCGTTCTCTCCCATGCTTTTGAACTTTTCCAAGATGTCATTCACTCCCAGCCATTTGGAATCCAGGCCATTAATTGAAACAATATAGTCTCCTTCTTTCAGACCCTTTAACTGTAAAATAATGTAGTGCAAATTAGCATCAGCTGCAGTTGTTGAAACGTTTCTTTCTCCAAAGGTGTTTTTCGCCCCTTCCAGGCTTCATACAAAATTCATCAATCAGACAGCACAGGACAAAACACCCAAGCACCATTTTAATGCACACAAAATTGCCCTTTTTTGTGAACTGTCATACTAGAGCATACTGCCATTTGACTAGAGCAAATTATTAAATTTTCCTATCTCCTGTTTGTGGTGTTTGCTTTTCTATTTTTCATTCATAAAAATCTTTAAATATTTTAAACTGTTGTTTAGTTTGGCTTTCCCATCATTTTACTATTAGATGTTTTATCCTTCTGTAATATTTTTGTATTTTAATATAAACTTATTTAGTCTTATGCTTCTGCCTTTCACTGTGCTTTAGTTATGCCTCTTCTTTTCTCTTGTGAATGTTCTCTCTTCTCTGTATCCCTCCTTTTCCATTTCCTCTCATTCACAAAAGAGGATTACATATTAAGAAGCACCAGTATATTCTTTTCCCTCCCATACTCTTTCTCCTTCGTTTCCTGATATTTGGCTCTATGCACTGCCTTTTTTCTCCCCCTTCTTTCTCATGGCTTTTCTCCTTCCAGCCTTCTGAAATAGATGGTGAATAATGGTATTTGATTATGGTACATGTGGGTCATCTTTATTTATTAAATGTACACAAAAGAAGGAATCAGTCCTAGTTTAGATTTTAAATTTGTAATCTTCACATTAGAGTCAGGTAATGTTAAAGTTAACACTGCACTGTTAACCTGCTCAAATTGCAGACGCTGTATGTAGTATGGCATTGCATTTAACAGCTTAATTAAAATCCAGAAATACTCCAAATGCCAATACAAGTGAGCTGCATTTCCTGATTTCAGGTGTTCAAATTATTACTTATCACTGCATTTATCTTGTCTTTTTTCATTTAAAATGGATAATGTTGGTGTGTTCTTGGTATTACATTTAGTTCTTTAAAAACCACACTGATGTGATTGGTACAGACAATATTTTATTTATACAAATCTGGGTGCCTTACTGTTGCAGATGACTTGGCTAGATTGAGAAATCACAGCAAACTTAGAAGAACCTAGAGAGAAAATTATTAAAACTCCAATCTCTACTTACTGCTGCAGAACACTCTGGATCGAGACAGTGAACTTGCACGGGTGGGCCTCCTTTAAGAGTGAATCCCAATCCCCTTTCTTGATAATGGAAATTAATAGTGCGTGGGCCTGTCCATCTCTGCTTGGCTGAAAACACAGGCAATGGGCCCTGTAGGATGCAGAGTGGCAGAACATAATCATTAACAGCAAAATGCAAAATGGCTCACAAGCAAGTATTAGGCATTATAGTGTGCTACCTACCAGCCTCTCAAAGAAGTCTTTCACTTTCACCTTGGAGAACTGCGGAACAATCATTTCTACTTTATGCTCTGTTTTAGCTAAAACAAAAGTGAAAAAACAAACTTGTTTTTAAGTTCCAGATTGACAGCCAGAGACTGAAAAGCTTCTATTGGCAGGATGGGCAGAGGAAGCTTCACATGCTACCCCTTTTTACACTTAAGCTATTAGTTTCTCCTACATCACTACTAGACTGTAGGACAAGTAAGCTTGTCAGAACTCAACTTTTGTTGTTGTTGTTATTTTAAGGGCTTTTTAAAATCAATTTAAATGTTCACAGTTGTAGGAAACAGGGCCAGACAATTATTTAATGACCAGACACAGATTCAAAACCTTAAAACTTTAACTATTAAAACCCAAATTGTCAACATCACATATGAAAATATACAAAGTAAATATCCTTCAACTCCAATAAGTTCTCAAGCAGTATTTTTCTTACTTTGCCAATTTGTAAATTTTGATTATTATTGATGGAAATATTTGTGTGCATGTGTACAGCAAAACTGACATTTATCAACATTTGCCAATTAAAAATCTAATCCTTCCAAGCCTCAGGACATATGGAGACAGACATTATCTTAGCAAGATGAAATGTCAGGTTCCACGAGGCTTCTTCAGAGTATATACTAAAAACCCAAAGAAAAGAACCCAGTCTGTTTATGCTTTTTAAAGGGGTAGATGGTCTGACTGATGCAGGAGGAAGCAGTAGTATTCAAGTTCACAGTCAACTAACTTCTCTTTCCTATATGCTCTCCTATAGTACAGATCTTATGCCAATAACTGTGGGAAGATATTAAAAATATAACGCAAAGTAAACCACATTTTATAGCCAGAGATTTTAACTAATAGAAGGTGCTTTCTTCACCCACCATAGCCCACGATATCTGGAAGATGCATTCACTGAAGACTGACACACTTTAAGGACACCTTCTTACAATCATCCCCTAAATATGAAAGTGCAAAGGAGGCTTCCTGAAATCTGATCTCAGGCAACCAGCCTATATGGTGTGAATGTGCTTAGAGGCACCGAAGTAGAAAAACCGCACAATTATTTCACGGTTACTTTTGGGACTAATCAACAGACTCTAAGTTCACTGTACAAAACGTGCTTCTCTATGCACTTTGGCCACACATTTTTTGGTGTGTAACTCGAGACACCTTTAAAGGGGGCTGGTTTTTCAGAAGTGGGTGCTCACCACTTTCTGGAAACGAGGCCCCTTTTAACATGCATTAACTTGGACACCCAAAATTGCTAGTCCCTTTAGAAAACCTTGATTTTCAGTTGGGGATACTTACGAAGGACAGCGGAAGCTTCCATTAAACTCAGGAAGTCATCTTCCTGTTCATGCTGAGCATACTTAGTAAGTGAACGCTTGTGAGCAACTGACAGAATCTCCTGAAGAATGTCAATATCCCGAAGCTTTTTGCACAAACCACAGACCCGCAGTGCTTCTTCATGATAAACAATGGCTTTGCGTAAATGTGCTTTCCCTAAAGAAAGTAGAAACCATTAGCAATCGTTTGCCTTTTATTTATTTTAACTGTAATGTAAACAATACATAAGGCTAAGATGATTTTTCTAACAATCTTCACCAAACATTTTATCCCACAGGAAGGCAAGGCTGAAGGCCCAATCATGTGATTCTCAACCAACTAAGTGATTCTCATGTGAGTGGGTCCCACTGATTTTGTGGGAGCAACAGCATGAGTAAAGATTACTTATTCACTTAAGTGTTGCAGAATCAAACCCTTGGTTTAAGATTTAATTTGATTACATCAGTGTTTTTAGTGCCTATGTATTCCTAATATAGAGACATTTGCAAAAGTAAGTCAGCTTCATGTATAATTCTGAGTCACTGTAACACAAGAAGTTGGACTACATTCTGCCACATTTCAATTGATTTTAATGAGCTACATGGTGTAACAGAACCAAATTCATCCCATTATTGCCACAGCTTGAATTTTGAGGAACAGACATGTTTCTCTCTCCAAAACATAATATTCCTCTTAACTGACCCACTTAATAGTAGGAACACACCAGTTATAATCATGTAATAAAATTGATTACATGAGCTTTGCTTTATGTAGCTATAGCATATACATTCTGCTAACTATATCTATTTGTATCAGATAATATTTCTCTGTATTGTAATTTAGAACAGTTATACACTCGCTGAATGGAGTCTGCAATTACCTAATCGTTTTCGCTGAACTTTATCTCTTAAAATGGTTAGGGACGTCAGTCCTTCTGGCATGTAGTCATGCAGCTGGGACCAGGCCTTTTCCTGTTTGTCTTCATCATCGCTGGGATGCACTATATCAACATACATAAAATGTTAGCTACTTTAATGTGTCTCTGTGCCAGGTGCCTTCAGGCAGGTGGACTGCAGAAGGAGAGGTCAGGGGAGAGTAAGTAGTAACATTTTGGAAACATTCTTCTAAATATGTGATTTCACTCCAGATTATTATTTTGAGCTTTTTTTTTTTTTAAATCAAGAACTAATTTTACTAAATGCTGCCTGAACTCTAATTTTCTATTCATGAGAACTGATTAACTTAATGATAATATTACTTAGCTCATATATAACACTTTTCAAATCTCTTTGTAAGTATTAGCTACTAAATGTTCTCAATACTCCTGGAAAGAAGGGCAGAAAGCAGCATTTCCATATTCCAGATGGGGAAAATGACAGAATAACTCAAGGCCATAAAGGTATTCCATGGAAAGAGTCCATATTAGAACTCTGAAGTTCCTAGCTCCCGGTCCTGGCCTCAGTACAAACCTTTCTTAATCGCAGTTGTTTATATGGATATATAAATAAAACCAAAGGATTCTTACACTGGTGGTCACTCAGTAGAGTAGCAACGAAGTAATGTGCCAGAGCTTTGTAATGGTCTGATTTTATTTTTGCCATATTTGACCAGGTATAAGGGACATTCGCCTTGACTGGTGCCTGATTCATTGCAGTGTTAACAAGCGTGTAAACCTCTCCAACCTAAAATAAAAACACACATCTAGGTATGAGAAGTTACCTTTAAAAGTAGGAGCTCTTTTATTAGCAAGAGGGGATATAATAACCATCTACAAATATTTGAAGGCTTATTTACACCACGGAGAGAAAGAGGAAATTTTACACTGATACAAGGACTAGGAGGGATGAAATTAAAAGGAAAATTGAAGCTTTATCTCTGGAGATATTTAAAACTAGACTGAACACAACACTGTATATTGTATAGAATAATCCTATATGGCATTGGACTAAATCACTTATTTGGTCTTTTCCATCTCTAATTTCTATGTCACAATATGAAATATAATATAAATATCCTATATAATATAAATATGCACACAGTTCTATAATTTGCAAGCAAATCTTGGCTTATTAATGCAACTGAAAGGAGGGTAAAGCAGATCAGTGTTTTAATAAATACATTTGTCAGCTCAGGAAAGCTGGATTCAAAGTTGACATTAGGTTACACATGAAATGAGTTTGGTCCGTGGAGGCTCTTTAAGGTTGGCAGGACAAGTTTTGCCCATCCTATTTAGAGTCAGGTACTGTATGACCTTTATCTGATAATATGAATTGGTTGAGTGAACCTTCATGTCTCATTTTGCTCCCTATGTTCAGATGTCACCACCCTCCATTGAGTGTGGTGGATTATCTTCCATGTCAGAGCCTGCCTGCCTTATTTGTGAGTAAACCTGTGAAAGTTTTGCAACCCCATCACTACCAAACCATAACTAACTCTGCCCACCATGCTCCCAGTACAATACACAGAACTCTGGGAAGGATCAGTGAAACTTTTTGGAGGGGGGAGGGGGGGAAATCAGGAGGATCGTTAGTGGTGGGCAGGATATATAGCCAACCCCAGTCTCCAGCTGCAGAAGTAAAGCCAGATCAGCATTTGGCGGCAGTTAATGGGAGAGGGGCATAAGTGGTGCCACATAAGCAATTGACACCTCCTTCACATGTTGATCTGGGGGCAGGAGCTGGTCATCTACTTTATGGAATCAAATGCTATTGTCATAACTACTCATACATTTTTGTCAGAAATAATCTTATTAATTCTCAGTGAGAATTACAAGCAGTTGTGTACTTTAATTTGCTAAGATGAACCACACAGAACTTCAGTAAATAAATTATTCACTGTCCAGTTGCTGTTCTGGTATTTGTTTCCATTAGATACATTTTTTTAATGGAACAGCTCTTATTATGTGACAAGATTACCTGCAGTAGCAGGGACTGGACTCAATGATCCAGGAGGTCCTATGTTCCTATTTTAGTGGCTCTGTTGAGGATGTGTCAGTATTTCCATCATAACTCGCTGTATTTGTTAGAACATACAACCTTGCAAACAGATTACATTTTAGGTTCTCATACTGTGCCAACAACTTGACATGAGTCCCTGTAATTTCAGTTTGTATTAAAAACATTAACAGTAATTAGCATTTTGCACTCAATACTTTAAACCAAAGTCACAAAAACGCTTTAAAGGTTTAATAAATGGGCACTACGGTAGAGTTTTAAGCTAGTGATTTGGCACTGGAAACAAACTTGGTGTGGGTTTAAAAACACTAAGTCTCATGGCTTACCTTAGCAACTTCCTGAGCCATCTTCACTAGTGTGAAAAATTCATTTCGTATTCCAGGTAGGCTGATCTGCTCAAAGACACACTCTTGAGCTTGAGCAAGCATCATTTTGACCAGTACACTCAGCATGGCTGGGCTCATGTCATAACTTGGTGTGTGAGTAAATGTTTCCTTTAGGTAGTTTAAAATACCTGAATTTTTAAAAAGTTTTTCTAATTATTACAACAGACAAGGACTTTTACAGGTGATCACAATTCACAAATTATCAAGTACAATTGAAAAGTAGCAAATAAGACAATTGAGAAACTTGAAAATATATTTTCTAGAAATTACTCAGCCAAATTAAATTATCCAAAATGGATTCTTATTAAGTGTGAAGAGTTAAAATGACCCACTGTCATATAGATTAGTGTTCTGTATTGCCATCTAAAACAGCTGTGCTCAGTTCCCAATCTTGGGTTATCATTCACAGGGGCAACAGAGGCTGTCCTGTGGGGCAGGACAAGGAGAGCGATGCCTTAAGATTCACTTATAAGAATTCCTCTGACTGATTTTCGAGTGGTGCTTTACTGGGTACATACTGACAGTTCTACAGGGACCTAAGGGCGGTGTGTTACACAGGAATAGGAAAGAGAGGGAATCCTTAGGCCTCTGAAAAGGTAGTTTGAGACCCCTACAGCAAAAAAAGAACAATTCAACTAATCTTGGAAACACTCCAAAAAGGAGGCTCAGTGCACTGTGTGCTCAAGTCTAGTGCTGTTCCAGCCCCATAAGTAAACTGGAACAGTTTGTTCAGCAGGGCAAAATTAGATTCTGCTTCAGTCATCCACTTCCACTAATCTATCATTTATAAAATTAAAACAAACACTAAGTGTAGTGTAAAAAATAAATAATGCTTGCAAGGATTAAAATGTAACATATCCCAGTCATCTCATCCAACTGGTTTATCAAGTTCTGCTAGAGCTTCTTTCCCAAAGTTACTGAACAAGTATCACAGCAGTACCTGGGGCTATGGAAGTTCCCCCTGTATTATTATAATATCTGTCACTCATTGTCACTACTTTTCAGTTCTATCCGGCTATGTTCTTTATTTTATTAGTGAGTTAGCTTTTACACTTTTGGAGACAGAAGCTGCCACTACTCAAATTTTAATCACAGGCTATCAATCAAAAATCTGTCAAGCCCATCTGAGCTACTGATTCCTTAAGAAATAAATGGAATTGGCTCTGAAAGTCCAGAAAAGCATCCTCATTTTCTGGTGCCTCAATTTATTTCTCTTTGTGTGATAAATAATTCAGACATTTTTTACTATCCATGTTGAGGGCTCTGTTATGTATTGAATCAGTGCAACAACTTCAGCCCACCCATACAGAATAGCTACTACGTGTACTATATCATGTCACTCTGTTAACACAACGTACGTGTTACGGAGCTATGCACAGGTACAATGAAGTGCTTACAGAGTGCATGTTGTTGTGGGGCCCTGCAAAAGGTATGTTGGCTGCAGATGATGTGCTGCAGTTTATGACTTAATACAGCTCTAGCAAAACACTGGCATAGCTATTGCTCTAAGTAGGAATATATTTAATTTTAAAGAGAAATTCTCTTATTTCACAAATGCTGAAACCTCTTCTAGAAAGACAACAAGTCTGTAGTGTGGCAAAACAAAAATCTATTTAAAAATGAACAAAGCCATATTTTCAAAATCTCTATATAATTCTTTGAATACAAGAACTAGGGCTATTAAAGTAACACACTGTTTGTTCAGTGATTGACAACTATGATAGCATTTCACAAAATTGGAAGTCAGCAGCTGAGGATTATAATTATCATCTTGCAACACATTTTCATTTCACAGATATTAAGACTGCCTCTAAACACCTTTAAACACTATGAGTAATACAATACCTTACGCTTACATGATGACTTTTATCCAAGAAATGAAGGGTTTTTGTTCCAAACCTACTCTAATGAAAATCAGAACTGTTATAGCATGTTAGCTCAAGGCAGGGGTGAAAATAAACAGGTACGGCGTACTGGTAAAAAGTGGCCGCTGATACCGGCCCGTACAGCTGACTTTAAAGCGTTGCCGCGGCAAAGGACCCTGCTTAAAGCGCTGCCGTGGCAGCACTTTAATATTGTTGCCCCTTTTGCCCCCCATCCGCTGATGGGGGGGGGGGGGGAAGAGACAAAAGGAGCAGCTGTCCCGGGGCCGGCGATTTAAAAGGACCCGGGGCTCCGGCCGCCACTGCCACTACTGCAACAGTGGCCAGAGCCCCGGACCCTTTAAATCGCCGCTGGAGCCCCGGGCGGCACGGGCCAGGAGCGTGTAAGGGCTGGCCGGGGGATGCTGACCCCCAGTCCTGCCCCTCCTACCCGAGGCGCTGCCCCTTCCGGGGGCCGGAGCCAGCTCCCATACCGGTAAGTCTTCGGCTTTACTTTCACCCCTGCCTCAAGGGATGCAGCTCCCATTAACTACCACAGACACAGCAGAATAGAAACTCCAATGATTCGTTATGGGCATAGATCCTGCTCCTATTCGGAGTCAATGGCAAATTTACCATTGACCTCAACTGGACAATAAGCTTTGTTTGGGATCAAAATAGACTTGAGTGTTTTAAAATGTTTTTAAAATGTAGATGCTATAGGACTGATTATCCACTCTCATCACACACATTTTACACAAGTCAATGCAGTTACAGTGATGTAATGGAGAACGGGCAAAGAAAAGGTGAATGTACAGCTAATTAATCATTAACTACAATATTCACTTTGTCTTTACCAAACTTGTTGTTCCGACAGCAGCTCCAGGTTTTTGAAATGTTAAACTACGGCTAACAGGAATGTTTAATTAAAGCCTAGTACAGATCCTTGTGAGGACCTTTGGGTTTCAATCCACCTCCTTTTCTGTTTGGACTGTGTTAATAAAACCAAAAGTCAATATTGAATGTATAGCTCTGTATGTAAGAGACAGATTGAGACCTCCTCAGAAATAACCTCCCCCGTATTTTCAATATGCAAATGAACCACAGCTCCTTCTCTCTTTACATACCTGCAGCTCTCTGAAAAGCATCAACAGCATTTTCAAGTCCGGGCTTGGTCTGCCGATTACATCTTGTACCAATCTGTGTATAGAGGGCTCCAATATTAAATAAAATACTGGCTTTTTCTAGTAACAAATTCTGCTGACAGACAGGGACACCTGTGAAGGAATCATACCTGAGGGAAGCGGGGGGGAGGGAGAGAGAGAGGAAGGCAAAATGAAATAAGCATAAAAAGACAAGCGAGCACAGAGTTACCAGTGTTTTCATTTTATTGTTCAGATGAGAATAGCAGGATCTATAATGCCTTTTCTGCTTCTGCTGAAACTTATGGTAATTCATAATCACATGCATGTAATGCAAATATATCCCTGAGCTCCAGGAGCTAGTGAGAGGATTTATTGAGCTTTCTTAAAAGCAATGTCTCCCTTCTTGCAATGCTGGACTGGAACTCAAATAGCTTTTCTTGACCAAATGGTAAGAGTCTCCTGTTCTATTCACAAACACAAGATTTAAATTCACTGAGTCACATTCTTTTCCCGTTAATAATGGTGCAGTATATCATAGCACTTGCCATTCTGAGCCAGTGCAGAAGTCTTTCTACAGTCCTCTGATATTTTCGACTATGTAGTGTTTCCTATTCATTACAAATTAAGATAGACAGTAGTAGATACTCTTAGCCTATAAATCTTGTAGTTCCAATAACACAGGACTAGATTGTGTTCAATACTACAGCCTGAGCAAGGGGTGAGGTGTACATTGCACCACCCAAGGAGTATCAGCAGCAAATCACAATACTCCCCCATTCTCAGCATGCTGCCCAGCAAGTAGTAAGCATGTAGTCAAGGCTATGCTCATTCCCCACCGGCTCCTATGTGCTCATATACACCAAGACCCAAAATCCAGGTAGGATGCGTAGATGTTTAAAGAGAATTCTTATGGCCCTTCAGAGATCTTACTCTCAGCGTAGAAAGGGCCTTATTCTCGTCAGAACTTTACTGTACAAATTAAAGAGAGTGCGTAACAGTATAAATATGAAAACACACTGTACAAGAAAAATATAAGTCTTTCAAATTACATAGAGCTAGTTCAAGGTTAACAGTGTTCTTAAAAAAAAAAAAAAAAAAAAACACTTACCAGGTAAATAAAATCCCCATATGTCTGGTAGGTGGAAAAAATCTGTTCTCTACAAAGCCAAGTTGAATGAAATAGCTCATCAACATCTCAATGCCGGATTCATCTCTGCTGGGAGTACGGCAGGCCTTAAAGTTCAGATATGTAAAAACATACATTCACACAATGCATTCTGTTTAGTTTCAGCGTGAATAATGTAACACACCAAGGACACAGTTCTGCTCAACTAAAATCAATGGGACTTTCGCATAATATAAAAGTGTCTGGAATGTAGGAATTAGAAGCATAGGGGCAAAGCCTGCCCTTGATGTGTGCACCCAACTCTGAATAATAGAGTTGTGCTGGAGAGAAGGCTGTACGTGGCCCTAAGGAAACACATGGAAGATAGTGTGTGACAGGCAAATCTCACACATGTTGAAATACAATGTTGGACAGTAGGTATTGTGTGAACTATAGAAGAACATTTGAACAAACAACATCTAGTAAATAGAAATTACTAGTATTGTGCTACAGATCCCTACTATTTACTCCACTCCTGCTTTCATGCCTCACTTCAAACCCTTTAGTTTATTCCCCCATTACAATTTAAACAATAATATTTTAAAAACAAACAATTTACAAGTTGTGTTAAACTGCTCAGTTACTTTGCTTTCCTGTTACATCATTTTCTCACCCCAAGCATTTCTTCACCTGTTTTATCTATATCATAGAATCATAGGGTTAGAAGGGACCACAAGGTCATCTAGTCTAAACCCTTGCCAAGATGCAGGATTATATGTGAGGAATAGCCCTTTTTCCCCACACCACTGCACTGGGAACTCATACACAGGTATTTGTCCATTATGACCCCCTAAATCCTTTTCAAAGTCACTGTTTTCCATATTTCAGTCCTCCCACTCCCCCCATTCTATAGGTATGGCTTGCATTCCTTATTCCTAGATGTACAACTCTGCACACAGCTGTACTGAAACCCATTTTGTTTGAATGGGCCCCGCTGCCAAGTGATACAAATCACACCATATGACTACCCTGTCCTCATTATTTACCATTCTGCCAATCTTTGTCATTTGCAAATTTTATCAGTGAGACTTCCAAATCATTGATGGAAATGTTGCATTATAGTCCTTGGGATATGGAGGCGGTCATTTTATATATCTTGGGAACTAAAACCAATGGAAGTAAGGTAACCTGGAGCAAAGTATTAGTCATTAAGAGTGCCACAATCTAACCATATATGAACATTATTAATAAAAATCTGCAAGATTAAAACTGGATATGGTGGCACAGTCACAACAAGAATTAACATGCAAAATCAAACCTACTTGTCTCAAATCCATAAGATCAGCTATTTCATCTTCATAGTCAGAACTGTCTTCACTGTAATGTTCCAGGATAAAGTCCTAAACAAAATAAAATGTGGAATACCCTTACTCTTTCAGGCCAAAGTTTTTGATTTCTCTGCAAATATGAACAGTGTCCTGAATATTTAAAAATCTCATGATTTGCAAAGTTTCTACTCATTAGTAATAAATGGTGTTGTATTTAAATATGTCAGATTTGCAAAAAAGCGGGAAAACTGTAACAGACAAGATTTCAAGGTAATATCTTCATCTTGTATCAAATATAAGAAACTCCAATCTTGTGTAGCGGACTCTAAACAGCTATAATATTTTTTCTGCTATTTTTTCAAACTGAGTTAATAGTTTTGAAATTGATACCTGAACCTATTAAATACAAAACAACAAGGGAGTCAAATGATCATGAAAATTCATTAATAGAAAGATATTGTCTCAAATTCTGCTCTTAGTTACATTGGTGAAACTCCACTGAGTTTAATGAAACTACACTGGTATAAATGGCAGAATATGGCCAATCAAGAATAACCTACAGATGGAGAAGGCCAAATTCTTAAGTGATGTCTAAGAGAGTCTAAGTTAGTAGAAGGGGGGCTGATTCTCTCGTTTTACTTCAGTGTAACTCCATTGACTCCAAGGAGTAAGTTAAAGTAGGGTGTGGGTTTTTTCAGCTTACACCTTCTTCTGGCTCCTTGTCATGGTTAGATGCACCAACTTAGACTCCCACAGTAGGAGATGAGGGGGTATACAGAGCTAAGGGAGTCTATATGTGGGAGTCTCAATTAGTGTAAGGGAGTTTAGCTTACACCAGCTTTACAATTCATCCTCTGAATTTGCGCTAGAAAGTTCAAAAAAGATCCAAAGTAGTAGTGAGAAAGAGCTTTCTTCCTGATTGAAACAGCTATTTCCCACTAAGTAGTATGTAGAACTAGTAGCTGTCAATGAAAACCCAAAGAGAATTCTCCTTGCTTCCAAACATATACTCATTTCTAAGACAGAACTCCCATGAAAGTCAGTGAGAGTTTTGCTTGAAAGAATGCAGATTAAAGTCCCTTGTGAAGCTCTGAATCCAAGTGGCTCTTGGCTTGGTAAAACTGTTGCTGTTTACTTGCTCCATGGAGAATTATTCCTGATTGTTTTATTTCCCTGCCTCTGGCAAAGAAAGCCTTCTTCCATGGATTTCATTATCTAATATGCTGAATACAGCTGAGCTCACCTGAATAAATATCCATAACAGGCATAGACTTTGTGTGCCCCAAGGATGATCTTTATAATGCTCACAGAAAATTATATCACGTAATTAATCAAAACATAGAAGTAATAAAGCTCTTTTAATTGAAAAAGTGTTAAAGACTATATTTTCTGTAGGAGCCCAATTCTGCTCTCAGTTCTATCAAATGCAATTTCATGTGGCTGCACTGGCAGCTATACCTATGTAACTGGGAGCAAATTGGATCCACTCTATGGTCTGATCCCTGGACCCAGTACAACTATTTTGCACCATAAAGCCCCCTTAAAGCTGGCACACACAAATAACTGGGGCTTCCTCTGTCCTAGCTGGGTATTCCCCTAGTGCAGAGCTGTCATAGCTGCCTCTGCACCATAGCCTCTTCCTGCCCCCAGGCATAGCATGCTCTGGCCATGTTTCCTCCCCATCAGAAAATCTTAGTCTAAATCAGAATCACTTGAATACACTGGGACTACCTGCCTGGGTGCCAAACCATCCCCCAGCTGCCCTGGTGGTAGGGGGAGAAAAAGGTGAGTACAGCCAGATTATTTAATTAGTCTTCATTTAGACTGAAACATCTGGACAGGGATCTTGTTTAATTTGTATTGTAGAGCACCAAATACAAATTTGGGCAGTGTACAAACAATAAATGGTTATTATTATTATCATCATCACCACCACCACCACCACCACCACCAGCTGGGCCATAGAACAGTGGGCATGGGCAGCAGGTGAACCCCAATATTCCCCCGGCCCTGCCCCTTCTGCCCGAGGCCCCGCCCCAGCGCGACTGGAGGAACCCCGGCCTGCCCTTTCCAGCCACCCAGTGCAGGCTTGCCCTACACCCAGCCAGCCCAAGCCGCCTCTGGCTGAGACCCTGCCAGCTTTGGGGAAGAGAGGGAGCAATGGCGGGCCAGAGTGTGGGTGGGGCCACGGCCTGGGTTAGGGGAGGCTTAGCACCCCCAGCCTTCAATACCCACCGCCCATGATGGTGGGCCTGATTTTGCTTTCACACAAATGTAAATCAAGAGTCAATCCATTGAAGTCACTGGGAAAGCTCTTCTGAAGGACATAACTGATCTCAAATCTTTGATAATTCTTGGTGTGCTAAATTCTTGGTTCTTGATCAGATTAGTGCAAATAAAGCATAAAAATATGTTTAGAATTTGCACACAATGCTGCGCACCTTCAAACATAACAGCAGTGTTACATGTTAAATATTGATTCTAAAATCTGTATCTTCGAAACTTACCTTAAGAGGGATTGTTAAGTCCCCTTCTTTAGTCTCCTTCAGGCCAAGTGGTATCAGGGGAATGCTAAAAGTCTCTCTGTGGCAACAGAAAAGACAAACAGAAAGTTAACTCCTTATTTTCTATTGTTCTGTTGGCAAAATTACCTGCCTTGTTCCATGTGACCATAGAGAGAAGGAGCTGTGTCTCTTGATGACAGCATATGTAACATGCACCTTTTTATTTGCACTAGGAGGCTTTAAGCATTTCAGAATTGTGTAACGCTCCCTTTACACAAACTGTTCTGTCCCACACAAGTTATTTTCCTTATTTAAAAAAAATAATTATTATTATAAAACCCAAACATGAATGCTCCTATTTCAGGAATGACAGAAGTGAAGTAAACAGCTGCAGTGTGAGAGATTTTATCAGGAGACTCCAATAACTTTTTTTGTGGACGGGGGAGCTCTTGATTCCCCAGGAGTTTATTCTGGCTTCAAGTCTCTCTGTACAATTACTCCTTCTGGCCACCAAGGGCCTCTGTGATGTGAGTAAGGAGTGAAGGAAGATTGTCTGGTCTCTTCTTCCTTCCACTATCTCCCCTGCTGGTGCCCAGCCAGAATGAGACACTGGGGGAGGAGGAGGCAGAAGCCAGCTGTATTTCTCAGTGTGGTGAGAGGGACAGAATCGGGAAATAGGCATAGGGATGGAAGCTCAAAGGGAAAGAGTCTGAAGGGAATGAGAGTTGCCCTTGATCCATTGTTCCCCCAGAGGAAGAGGGGGCCAAGGAAACAGAAAGTGGGGATTGACAGATCACTTGTCTGTATCAGTTTGGATCAATCTTTCCACATCTGGATAAACCACGTGTGCAGAAACCAGCCACTGCAGGGAGACATACACAGGTAAGGGCTATGATAATTCCATATGCTTCAATATTTTAGTATTCCATCAATGGTTGATATATATAAATTGTCTCTAGCACATTGGAAAGTAAGGCCTGAGCTCACTGGTTTTGATATAACTGGAGCCTGACAGTAAAAAGTTTGAGAACCACTGCCATGTGTATTTAACTTTTAGAAAATGTTAGGGTGGGGGAAGAATTCAACCCTGAGAAGCATCTCCACGGAGGGTGAGGAGGTACAAAATGGCAATGTAAAAAAAAAAAAAAAAAAAACCCTTGATCCTCAAGGAAAATAAAACTCTTGATCAACTCTTGATCACACTATAAGAGTAATTCTATTGTTTGCTAGTGGGACTACTCATATGAATAAGGAGATCATGAGCATTTGGTCCCAACTGTGAAATCTGTCTGTACCACTCTTTTCCTAAGCAAAATGTCCCATTTCAAACAGAGATGTCAGGATTTCTTCCAGTTATTATTTACAACGTGTTGAGTGGGAAAGATGGAATAGTGTCTGTTTAAACAAAATGTCCTTGGCATCTGGATATGTTTATCTGATATTTTCTTTTTCCAGCAAACACTTAACTGACTTTCTAATAATTGTTCATAGTGACCTATTTTCACTACGAAATACTGTGGGAGTGATTCACTCACAGGTTTCTATCAGCAAAGCCAGCAGAACCTGGGATGCATGTCCCTGGTGGTGAAAAGTCTGCCAGGGGAGCAGCAGTACAATCTACTCACAACTCCAGCTTAGCATAAGAAGGTCCCTAGAGCTGGCTGGTGCAATCCAGAAAGTAGGCAGGGCCAGTTGAGGAGGAGAAGAGCCAGGGCCCCAAGGAGCAGTGCTTATTCAGCTCACCTACTGGGCAGCATCTGCAAGGGGCTCCTATGGAACCCCGATGGAGTTTAAAACTATTCTCCCTGGTAGTGAGGCACAAATACACCCCCACACACACACTCGAGGGTGCAACACGTCTAATGTAACCAAATATTGGAAAGAACTGTTATTTCAATGCTTTTACAGCAGTTACCTTTGAAAAATAATCTGATAAAAGCCAAGGCACTAAAAATACTACGTATTGATTTAATATTGATTTAATATGTTCTTTCATGATCCATCTTCATTAAGCAGCCAAGCTTGTGTACAATTTCCATGGACACCGGTGTTTCTGCCAACTCTATGATGAATGTAAAGAAATTCAATATCTGCTTTTAGCTACTGAAGTGCCAAACCCACAGATTAAGTAATAGACTTCTCTAGTCTTATATACTGGGTGTGTAACACACAGTTTTGAAAAATATCCTTTGACCACGCCGTAAGGATTGGCCCACAGGCACACTAGGAGTATTTTTATGGCTATAGGGGTATTCTCATGTACATGCTCAGGGCAAACTCTCCCCCCACATCCTGAATAAGCGTATCATATTCAATAGGAAGACAAAAGAAACAAGTGGTATTTGCATTTTCAGGATTCCTGTCACCACCTCAGAAACTTTCTGGGTCAGATTTTGCCCTCAGTTTTTGCTGTGAGGGTTGCACAGGTATGAGTGGAGGGAGAATATGGCCCTCTGTTTAGAAGCAGATCTGCTTGACAGGTTTACCTGTCTTATCTCACTTTCTGGTGTCTATTTTGTACAAAAAGCGCCCAAAGTTGTATCCATTCTTCAAGGATGGTCTTACCAGAGTTGTATAAAGACACATTATTATATCCTTTGATCAACAAGAGATCCCTGTCAGCTGGCGAACATATGGTTCACACCATGCCTAAAACAGGAGAGACGGGCATATAGCCCTCCTAAGAAGTACAGCTCTCTGCGAGCTCTGCTCTCTCTCTCTGTAGCAGTCACAGAGGGGAGACAGGTTGTCACTGAGGTAGTAATATGCCTATACCCTCCTTTTCCCCTATATGGCTTCCCTCTTCTTAGCACTCTTTGAGACTTTCCCCTTTTCTTTGCACTGCGTAAATGGAGGTGAGTATACGGTCTATAGATATGGAGAAAGAGTGCCACTCTTTGACACAGAAAATATTGATGTGTCCTTTATGCAGACTTGGTTAGACTGTACATAACATAATACCTGCAGTTTGGGGTTCTTTATTATATGAACAGTATTGGAAATGTAGGAAATAGTTCAAAGGAGGTCAACTAAAATGACAGTCACAAGGGCCACTGTTCCAACATTCTCCAGCCACAAGATCTTCACCAAAACCTGGGTCTTCACCTAAGTTCCCTGTAAGCTGTGCGGCCAGGAGCGGGGACCTGCCATGGCCAGGGGAGGGGCACCCCTCCTCCCACCCCTAACCTGCGACGGGAGGGGCACTATACCCTCCAGGACACCCTCCAGCCCCAACTCAGCCTGCAGCCTGGACCTGTCGTGGCCAGGGCAGCGTGGCCAGATCGGGCCCGGCCTCAGGTGCAGACTGGGCAACACGGCCCAGAACAGCCCTGGAGCAGCCCAGCCCCAGCCGCGGCCAGGGAAGCGCAGCCTGGACCAGCCCCAGTGCAGCCCGGACCCAGGCGTGGCCAGGGCAGACCAGCCCCGGAGCGGCCCAGACCTAGCCTATCCTGCAGCCCCAGCCCCAGAGCTCCCGTGGCGGGGAGAGGCGCTTCTCCTCCCCAGTCCAGGTGCTGCTGCAGGGAAAGAATGCTGGGGGGAGCCCTCTCTCCCCACTGTAGCCCCAGAGCACCATCCTGCACCCCAAACCCTTCATCCCCGGCCCCACCCCAGAGCCCACTCCCCCAGATGGAGCCTTCACACCCCGTACCCTACCCCTCTGCCCCAGCTCTGAGCCCCTCATCCCCGGCCCCACCCCTGAGCCCGCATCCCAAGCCAGAGCCCTCACACCCCTGCACCCCAACCCTCTGCCTCAGCCCTGAGCCTCCTCCCACACTCTGAACCTCTTGTCCCCACCCCCACCACATGAATTTTGTTATGTGCACCAATATGAAGGTGATGTGTCACACATCTCCTCCATATTGGTGCACATAACAAAATTCATTCTGCATATGGGTGGGAAAAATTAGAGGTAACACTGGTCTTCACCATCAAAAAGCAGAATGTTTTAAATTATCTTCTCAAGGACTTGTAGGGAGGTTGGAGAGGTGGGGTATGTATGTGCTTCTGGAGACTGTCACAAACCTGCTCCCCCTTCTGTCACTACGGCAGCTGTCACTTTCATCTTCCCTACTGCACTCCCTGTGCATGTTTGAGAGGGTGGAAAAATGCTGAACAAAACATTTTCCCCTCAGAAAATGAGATCTGTGTCAAAATTTTCTACGGGAAACTTGATTTTGGCAGAATTTTCCTTTGGGAAAACCAAAATGTTTCATTATTAATCTTTGTGTCCACCTGAGTTGCTGCGGTGTCTAATGGGAGCTGCCACCATTTTCCTCTATGGGCCTTGCTCCCCTGCTCTCTACCTGGGGCTGAACCTCTGCAGTGCCTCATGCACTGCAGTGGCAGCTTAGCTACAGGGAGAGACTGCGATGCATCATGTGAGATATAGTCAGGCCTGGAGCAAGGTCCATATTGGAGAATGGAGGCATGAGGGACCTTGAACTACAACTCCCATAAGTCACTGCGGCAGCTCAGCCGGATGCAGAGAGAGCGACAAATATACGGACTATGTGGTCAGACTGTTGACTAAGAGAAAGTGTATTCTCCTTCTATCATGTTCTTTATTCACTATTTTTTTCATGTAATTACTGTCCAGCATTCACACTCATCCAGCACCAGTTTTATTTCCAGTTGGTAAACAAAAGATGGGTTGATAATAGAATAGATTTTCACTTACTCTGTATTCTGATAAACTTCCACTGATATATTAAGTCCTTCTAATTCCTCCTTTAAGATTTGCAGCTCTGAGTTTACAAAACTCAGTTCAAGAAGTGCCTGCTCTCGCACTTTGTTGTTGGTGGTTGCTCTGCAAAGAGAAAGAGATATGCACCTTTGTGACTTCCCAGAGAACAGGCTCTGTATTGTACACCCGCTTCGTTGAGCCCCCTTACTGGCATTCCCATCATTTTTAAGATTTTTTTTTCTTAAGAGATGATATGAGAACTCAAGTTTCAGAATTTACTTAGTTTGCTGCCAAGACAGAACTTGGAATATGTTTCAGATACAAAACAGCATGCAGACATTTAACAGGTTTGCTGTGTGCTGATCTTTTTGGACTGATTTTAAGATTTAATTTTGAGGACAAATTAACAGTGAAACAGAAGGGTTTACATCTTAATTATATTCTGATAATAAAAATGATTACAGGGCTTTCTCCTAAAATGAGCTGTAAAGAAAAAAGTACATGTCTAACTTTGGTTAAACCCCCTCCCCCATGCCCTTACGGTCACTGGACAATTCATTAATCATCTGGTATAATTGCTGTTAGTACTATTTTCTTAGTAAACAAAAACCAGACACTTTTCTCCTCACAAATAGAATGTCCCTTTTCCTGATGTGTCTGGATAATCATTTTCTTCCATTTGCAATTCATGTATAGGTGTAGCATCCTTTTATACCATTAGCATAATAGATATGTCTTTAAATGTAGCCCCTAAAGCATTTCTGCAGGTTTCTATTTGAATATTTCTGGGTGTAGCTATATTAACACCTGCTTCTAGCATGAATCATCATATAAGCAACCCAATACTGCGTGGTACCTAGAAATCTCATATTTATCTATCATAAATGCTATTTTAAGATAAACAATTAGCTGGCAACACAAATGTCCATTAAAAAGTTAAGATTGAACAATTGCTTATGGATTGATACTCTGAACTTTGGTCCATATAACCAAATAGTCAATAGCCTAATAGAATTATTAGTTAACAAGATCAGTATTTGCTATATAAACATTCCAACTTAGATTAGGACACACCTGCTAACCCATAATTCTCTGTGGAAGTATAAGTCTCATTATTTTACTTGTGTTTCAGCCAGTAATAAAGGAACCAGCATTTCCAGTTTTTCTCAAGCTATGTTAAGAGAGGCTCTCTGTGGACAAAAGACTGGATTGCTGCTTCTGGAGTCTGCTGAAATGCAAATAAAATCTCAATCTTTGATTTCATTTCTTTTCGCTTGAGTACTTTGAGATAGTCCAACTATGTGAACTATCATCCAGCGGCATACCTAGAAATGAGACTGAAATACAGTTTGCCCTGGGAGCAGTTGTTTACCTCACAGCACCTACAAATGACATACATTTAAATAGTCTAATTGAATATGTTTTGATGCAATTTGATTTTAGAGATGTACTTGGACTTTAATTACATGGCACACTCACACACCAGAATTAGGGCCGATCCTACACTCCTTACTTAGCCAGAGCTCCTACTGAAGTCAGCAGCAGTTGCATTTTCAAAAAATGAGACACTGATTTTGGGTGCCTCTTCTTGGGATCCCAGGTTGAGACACTTTGGGGCTGATTTTTAAGAGGAGTGGAACATCACAGTTCAGTTGAGAAATCATGGAGTTCATTTGGTGCTTAGCTCTTCTGAAAATTAGCCCCAAGTTGGGCACCCAGAAATTAACACAACCAAATTCAGTGGCCATTTTTAAAAACATTGGCCTAAGAGTTCTGCTTGGGTAAGGAATGCAGGCCCAGGTCCTTTTCAGTAAGGTTTCAATTACTCATGTTAATAAATATGAGAGATGTTACTTTGAAATCAGCGTTAACAACAATTTAACACATCTTAATTCAGAAAAGAAATGTGGCAAATTTGTAACTGTTATTTAAATGACTCTGCTAATTATAAGGCTGGTTATTAAGCAATAGAATCAAGAGAAATTAAGCAATCCGATTCCACGGTGAAGAAGAGGGTGGTATAAGAAAGTGGATGAAAACTCATACCTTAAGTTCCCTCTAAGCTGCGCGGCCACGCAGCAGCCTATTAAGTGCTGTGCAGGCACTCAGGGCTGTGGTGGGGAGAGATGCCCCTCCCCCAGCCCGGCCCAGACCTGCTGCGGCCGGGGGAGAGGCGCCCTTTCCCCAGCACCGGCCCAGACCTGCCGGAGCTGGGGAAGAAGTGCTTATCCCGCGGCCCCAGCTCCGGAGCTGCTGCGGTGGGGAGGGCCTCTCCCCCCCAGCCCAGGTGCTGCTGTGGCAAGAGAGCTGGGGGAAGTTCTCTCTCCCCGCCATAGAACCAGGGCAGCCTGTACCCTAAACCCCTCATCCCTGGCCCCACCCCAAATCCCCCACCACCAGCCAGAGCCCTCACCCCCCTGCACTCCAACCCTCTGCCCCAGCCCTGAGTCTCTCAGCCCCACCCCAGAGTCTGCATCCCCAGCCAGAGCCCTCCCCCCCCCGCACCCTAACCTTTTGCCCCAGCTCTGAGCCCTCTCCCACACTCCAACCCTCTTGGCCCCACCCCCGCCACATGAATTTTGTTATGTGCACCAATAACATCACCTCCTTATTGGTGCACATAACAAAATTCATTCTGCACATGCATGGGAAAAATTAGAGGGAACCCTGCTCATACCCACCAGAGTATTTGAAAGGTGTGTTTCCCCTTATTTTACAGTCACTTTTCCTCACTGTTGGTTTTAGTAACTCTTCTTTGCAGTGTTGTTGTAGGCATGTTGGTCCAAGGATATTAGAGAGATAAGGTGGGTGAAGTAATATCATTTATTGAACTTGTATATCTTTTTATTGGACTTCATTTTTATCTTTTATTGGACTTCTGTTGCTGAAAGTAGCAAGTTTTCAAGCTACACAGAGCTCTTAACGCTTGTAAGCTTAAAACTTAAAAATCACTTGCTCCATTGTTTCATTGCCTGTGCTGTTAATTTGTTGCTGTGAAACTGCATCCGAAGAAGTGGGTTGTAACCCACGAAAGCTTATGCTCTAATAAATTTGTTAGTCTCTAAGGTGCCACAAGTACTCCTGTTCTTTTTGCATTAGGAGGGAGGCTGGACTTCTAGCACTGTGTTTCTCTTATCATTTTGCTTTGGAAGAAAGAAACTCAAAGATTTACATGGCGTTTGAAAACCTTTACAAAAAAAAGCAGATGAAATGTTGGGCCAGCCTGTCAGTATTGACTGTGTCCCCTTTGGATTTGAATTTTCACCGAGGATTCTTTATAGACAAAATGTCCATTTTATATATTTTTCTGGAAATTCAGCAGAAAAGTAAACAGGAAACTATATTTTAATTATTCTGCCGAATGTCTCTATCAGGGTAACTGATCCCAGATTCTTTCCCATTAATAAAACTCCTCTTTTCAAATATATTTAGAAACAGTTACTTCTGTGCACAGCAGAAAATAGCCAGCATGGCTGCTGCCCCATGGGTGCATCACAGGCCTCCTGAGCTCCATAGTGAATGCAGGTTTTTCCTGTTGTAAGGGGGAATAATGTTCTTTCTGGGATCCACTGTCATCCTCTTCTCAGGAGAGGAAGCGGCCACCATTCCACCTGATCAACATAGTGAGTCCCCTGAAGCCCTAATTTGAGACAGGTTTACTCCTGGCTCGTTGAGTGTCAGCCACCCGCCGGGTTATTTTAAAGGAGGTGCAACCCAAAGTGAATAGGGGATTAGCCAAGGAGATATAGAGACGTGCCAGGCAGCCAAAAGGTTAATATTTCCCTCCATCTAAGAACAAACGTGTGATATTCCCTAATATACCATGAAGTGACTGCATTTCAATGGAGGTATTTGTATATATATGTAACACAGACAGACCACGATAGTCTGTGGGTGGGATTGAACCTAGGACCTCTGGAGCTAAATGCATGAGCCTCTACTGCAGTGGTTCCCAAACTTGTTCCGCCACTTGTGCAGGGAAAGCCTCTGGCGGGCCGGGCCGGTTTGTTACCTGCCGCGTCCGCAGGTTTGGCCGATCGCGGCTCCCAGTGGCCGCGGTTCACTGCTCCAGGCCAATGGGAGCTGCTGGAAGCGGCATGGGCTGAGGGACTTACTGGCCGCCGCTTCCAGCAGCTCTCATTGGCCTGGAGCAGTGAATCGCGGCCACTGGGAGCCGCGATCGGCCAAACCTGCAGACGCGGCAGGTACACAAACCGGCCCGGCCCGCCAGGGGCTTTCCCTACACAAGCGGCGGAACAAGTTTGGGAACCACTGCCCTACTGCATGAGCTAAAAGTCACATGGCTCTTAGCTGAGGCTGTAGCAGACTCATTAATCTCTATGTGGTCTCGGTGCCATTAGAGGGGACAGAACACCACACTCAGGAGCTGTGCAGGTTACATATAACATGTAAAGTCAGAGAGCTCCATTTTGCAACTCAATGCCCTTACCTCAGTGGCCTACAGAACAGCTCTTTGGTGAGCATGAAACAGATTTTCAAATTTTAAGCAAAATAAATAGCCAAAAAATATCTCTATGGCAAGATGAGCACCAAAATAAAAGTCAGTCACTAAGAGGCAAAAAATCCCCAACTAGTGTAAATTGTCTAGCTCCGTGAAAGTCAAAGGAGTTAGGATGATTTACACCAGCTAAGAATATGCCCCTGAGCGTCTGTCACTTCCAACATCTGAGGGGTAAGGCAGGTGCGCAGGTAAGTGGGAATCTAGTCAGAGAAGTGATGCTTCAGAGAAGTAAAGTTACATGAGTAATCTTCTCTGAAGAAATCACATTGACTGGATTCTTGCTCTTGGACACTGACAACTCTCCACAAACCCATAGATTCTCCAGTCATGACAGATTAAAGACACCATATGAAGCAGTTTTAAATAAAAAGGAGAAATCCACATCCACAAATAACAGGAGGGAGAGCTGTTGGGGGAAAATAGTGACTAAGTGGTAAGGGTTAGATGTTCCTTATTGTGGGACAATATAAGGCTTATACTGCAAGGCAGATATAAGTAGGGGTCTACATAAATGGTTTGTTTCTTTGTTTTTGTTTTTTTTAAATACGGAAACAAGCCTTCCAGCAGCAGGCAAATGAAAGAGAAATCCCCTCCCCACCACAGACCAGCTATGAGGTTTCCCCATAAACACTGCAAGGTCAGATTTTTAAGATAAATAACTCAGAACTAAAGGGTACCAAAGTGGAAAGACAGAATCTCAAAAAGCAAGTGCACAAAAGGAAGGAAGTTCATGCTTTACAGATGTGAAGTTGGGAGGTTGTTTTAGTTCTGTGGCAACCTGACACTTTACTCTAGATAGCACACGGGGTTTCACACAAACCAGGGGAAGCCCAGAGATCCAGAGATCATTTTATGCCATAAAGATAGGAAGCGTTTTTTCCTTTCAGAATCAGAAACTGGCATTACAGACCAGTGAGCCTGTATAGCAGGCACCTGCAAAAACTCCAGGAGAGGATTAAGTCTGTAATGGGGTACAATTTTTAAAAGCTCCTATTGATTTTCCTAAGTCCAATTTTCAAAAGTCACTTAGGCTCTTAGGAGTCTAAGGCCTGGTCTACACTAGGAAATTAGGTCAGTATAACTATGTTACTCGGGGGTGTGAAAAATCCACATCCCTGAGTGACATAGTTAAACCAACCTAACCTCCAGTATAGACAGCACTAGGTCAGAGGGAGAATTCTCCTGTTAACTTAGCTACTGCCTCTTGGGAGGTGGAGAACCTACACCAATGGGAGAACCCCTCCCATCGGCATAGATAGCATCTTCACTGAAGCGCTGCAGCAGTGCACCTGTCCTGCTGGAGTGGTTTATGTGTAGACAAGCCCTTAGTTTCATTGAAAGTCAATGGGACTTAAGCTCCTAAATATCTACGTGACTTCTGAAAATGGGACTTAGGTAAGTCATTCAGGCACTTTTGAAAATTTTACCATGGACCCAGGTCCAGGAAAATTTTGCCTTCAACCCCCAAAAAATCTGGCCCACTGCGACATCCAGCCTGCTGACCAAGTCAGTCACATGCCTCTCAGATGCAGTCTACTCCACCCTCTTCTTCCAGGTCATGTCATAATGAAGCCTAAGGAATTAAAAGGGGCACAATGGACATAGGTCCTGCAGGAGCAACAGCTAGCAGCAATCAGCCATATGCCACACTGCCTGCTGCTCACTAACTCACTATTCCGTTGGTGAGCCCCTCTGCCAGTGGGCCACAGATGTGAAGGGTCTTGGGAAGATCTGTTTTGTGGGGATCACACTCTTAGACCATTAATATTCAGAAAAATGTTCACTTGTTTCCTTTACAAGCAGGCATCATGCTAACAACCACTATCTAATGAAAGACTCCAGGAAAAACTGAATTAGGATAATTTCAACAGTCTTCAAACAAAGTCATTTAAGAACTTGAGTCTAGTGCAATGCCCTTTTTCTGCAATACAGTGGCTTTCAAAATGCACTCTGAAAACAAAAACATAATACAGTAACTCCTCACTTAAAGTCTTCCGGTTAACATTGTTTCGTTGTTACGTTGCTGATAAATTAGGGAACATGCTCGTTTAAAGTTACGCAATGCTCCCTTATGTCGTTTGGCAGCCACCTGCTTTGTCCACTGCTTGCAGAGAGAGCAGCCCATTGGAGCTAGCTGGTGGGGGCTTGGAACCAGGGTGGACCGGCAGCCCCCCTATCAGCTCCTGCTCCCTTAAGTTCCCTGTGGGGCAGCCGCCCAGCAGGCTATCAATTGCCAGCAGTTCAGCTGTCCCTCCCCCCACTGCCATGTGCTGCTCCTGCCCTCTGCCTTGGAGCTGCTCCCGGGAGCCTCCTGCTTGCTGTGCAGGAGGGGGGAAGAGGGGGACTAATGTCAGGGTGTCCCCCTCCCCCCCTGCTCCTGCACCCCACTTACCCCATCTCCATTGGGGGGTGGGGGACGACACGACAGGGCTCAGGACGGAGGGAGCTTCCTGGGAGCAGCTGCTGTCTTAACTTGCTGATCTACTTAAAAAGGCAGTGTACTTAAGAGTGGGGTCAGCCTACTTAAAGGGGCAATCTCTCTCTCACACACAGGGTGTGTGTCTCTGTCTGCCATGCTGTCTCCCCTCCCTCCATTCATGCTGCCTTGTAGAGTGTGAGGCTACATTAACAACAATGGGTTAACCCTTGAGGGCTCAGCCAAAAGCTAGTTCATCATTTAGCAGAAAGGCATTCCCTGGAAATATCTTGCCCTCTTCCACCTTCTGACTTCCCCACCTCAACCAAGCTTCACAATCATCATCGCTGTGTACAGTATTAAATTGTTTAAAACTTATACTCTGTGTGTGTGTGTATATATATATACACACACACACAGACAAAAAAATTTCCCTGGAACCTAACCCTATTTACATTAATTCTTATGGGGAAACTGGATTTGCTTAACATCGTTTCGCTTAAAGTCGCATTTTTCAGGAACAGAACTACAATGTTAAGCCGCCCCAGGCACGTGCTTGCTGCGCTGGTGCCTGGAACCGCCCCTGCCTGTAGCCCAGATGGGCATTTGTATGAATATTCATGGCAACTATCAGGCCCTGTAACAGACCAGACCACCACGTAAGGAGAGATCTGGACCATTGGACTTTGTCATGCTAAGGACAGGGGTAGGTCTTTTGTGGATGACTTCTTGTCTCTTACTACCAGATCCCCAAGAAAGGGTGTGAATATATGTAAGGAATGATTCAAAATATTAAATTAATTGTATATTACCGCTATCTTTTTATGTGGCTTGCAGCATTTGTCTCTTTACTAATTGTGCTAATAAAACTGCTTAAAGTTTTGCTTTGCCCTCAGTGTGAGTGTCATCATAGTGCATATCAGTGTTCCCAGAGAGACACTGAATTTGACAACCTTGATTCTGTTGTGCCTGATTCTGGGACTAGCTTTTTAAATTAGCAGTGAATTGGAAATCAATAACAGAATCAGGAACCACCTAAAGAATCAGGCAACAGACCTCAATAGAGCTCCCACCCCCAGTCCTGGGAAGGAAAACAAAAGAGCAAAGTGCTTCCCTAAAGGTAGGAGAAGATAAAGAATGAAATCGGGGAGTGGAGGGGAAGTAGGGATAAGGGAGATAGAGAGAGACAGATGGGTAAAAAAAGGGGGTAAAGACACATACTAAAAAGGGGGAGGATGGGTGATTGCCTTTCCCCCTGGCTGGGAAGAGAATCAATTCCCCCAACTAATCCATCTCCATCTATCCCCCAAATCAACTGAACTCTAACCTTCCACAATTTATCATTTCACCCTCTATGTCTCACTGTTCCACAGTCAGTTCCTTTTTGTGTTCCCCTCATGACTTTCTGCATCTCTCTCACTCCCTATTAATTCTACGTGTGCATATGTCTCTGCCTCTTCCCCCTCCTGCCTCTGCAATTTTCATTTTAAAAAACTATACACTTTTTTTGCAGAAAATATGCACATTTGAGATCTACTTGTTTTTACTGACAATGCTGGCAGATCTACAGCTCACACTCACATTTGCACTGTAAAGTGAAGTTCTACTCTGAAAAAGGACTATAAAAACTGGATGGAGTGCCATTTGTTATGCTATTTAATGTTGCCCTTGACAAAAATTGCTCCGTTTTTTTTTTCTTTCCTGAGTGCCAGCCCCAGGTGCATTAGAAGTTAAAGTGGGGTCCATCCTTGCTATTGTCTCCAGGGCACTGTAGCCAGAGAGAGATAGTTAGATCATTGCCCAGCTTTGCTTCTGACACAGCTCCAAGTTTATTATCATAGGTGGGCTAGGGAACCAAGACACATTTCCATAGAGTCAACCCAGCCGGATATTTATGGTCTGGATGACTAACCATACAGATGCTGCCTAGAATGGCCCTAGCCATAGACATTCCGCCTGACATCTCTCCTCAGCTTTACAAATAAAACGACTGAAGTTCATAGACAAAAGCAGTTGAAAAAGAAGCTAAAATCAAAGCCTTCCAGGCCATAAAAGGAGACTTAAAGTGTCTGAGTCCTGAGGAAAGGAAGGGTGCATAGTAGTTGAAGACATGTCAAGAAAGCTAGGTCATGATATGAAACCAAGAGCTGGAGAAGGAGGCACAGAGAGCAGAAAGGATAGACAATTTTGAGGAGCCTAAGCAATGGGAGGGAGAGGAGGAGGAAGTTAGATGTTGGCCCGGTTGAAATTGTGCAGACCCTAGCAAGCAACAGTGAGGAGCTTCAATGTGATTTTGGGCAAGAGAGGAAGACAGCAAAGGGATTAAAGGAGAGGGCTTACTTGAGCAATAGCATGTTCAAAAGATTGAGAGGAGGAGAGTAAGCAGAGAGTTACAGATAGGACAGAGTTACAGACAGTTCAGATATTGAGGTGAAAGACAACTAATGTATGGACAGTGATTTTAGCAGCCAAAATGCACAGGAAAGGATAGATTTTGGTGATGTTACAGAGAGATCAATGGTAGGACTAAGCAGGAGACTAGATGGATGGAGGTTAAAGGAGAGACATAGCTTTGTACAATATTCAGAGGAATGTATTATATCGTATCTGTTCCAATAATCTCACAACTATTTATTTTGCCTCTTTCAATAACAGACTATGTTTAAGTATCTGTAACTAGAAAAATATTGTTTTCTGCTATAAATAATCTCTTTAAATATATGATGAAACAATACTTTAGGGGGAAAAATACTGAAAAAGCATGGCTATTTTACCATTAGCAAGCAAAGCTTTCACTGTATAACAGTTAATGACTTTATAGAGATGGGGCATTACATAAGACTATTAGCAGAACATCCAGCTGCAGTTTATTCAGCAAACTATGGGAGCAGCGAGGCAGCTATCTGAGAACTGAAGGACACCCCTGCTGAAAGAACAAAAAACATTTTGTTGCTTTAGACAGAAAAATAAAGTGATGGGAACATACCGTAAAAGATTTTCAGCACCAGTTCTCAACCTTACTGCTTTCAGGATCTGTTGGTTTAGGGCAGCTCTTTGATTTTGCAGTTTGCTTCGGCCAGTCTCAGCCAAGGGGTTACATCCCTAGAATAAAGGAAGCAAATTATTTTTAAGAAGCTGACAACAGAAGAGCGAAAGAAAAAAAGTGAATAACACTGATTTCAAAGACATGGATATGAAAATCTTAAACTATAAAGCATGACACATAAAGCCATTTGATTAAAGAGTGTTCTTTATTTTAAACCTAAGAAAGTTTATTCCCAAATTAAAAAAAAAAAAAAAAAAAACCTTAGCTCAGGGTGACATTTTCTCAGTTACCCTGCAGTAAATTTACAGTTACTTCCTTGATGTCAGTGGAGTTTGTGTGAAGCCTGAGCAACTACACTGATGTCCATAGAGTTACTCCAAAGTTACACAACAGTGTGCCTGAGAGAAGAGATGTTGTATTGTCATGATAAAAATCATAATATGATGGTAAAAGGAATGAAAAGTCACAGATCATGGCCAGGTTTTTTTTTTTTAATTAAAATCAATTGTTTTTAAAAAGAACAAAAGTGATTTTAAGGGTAACTGAAAAGGCCTGGGACTCTTCAGTTTAACTTATTCCCTAGTCTCCTCTGTCTAGAGCAGGGGTCGGCAACGTTTGGCACGCGGCTCTCCAGGGTAAGCACCCTAGCGTGCCGGGCCAGTTTATGTACCTGCTGACACGGCAGGTTCGGCCAATCGCGGCCCCCACTGGATGCGGTTCGCCGTCCCGGGCCAATGGGGGCAGCGGGAAGCGGCGCAGGCGAGGGATGTGCTGGTCGCGGCTTCCTGCCGCCCCCATTGGCCCGGGGCGGCGAACCGCGGCCAGTGGGGGCCGCGATTGGCCGAACCTGCCGCGTCAGCAGGTAAATAAACTGGCCCGGCACGCTAGGGTGCTTACCCTGGAGAGCCGTGTGCCAAACGTTGCCGACCCCTGGTCTAGAGGTCTAAGCCCTAGTTTCAAGCAGAGCACTGTGCACAGGCATCTGCCAAATACACATAGCAAGGATGCTCTTGAAATCTACCTTGTAGAATTCCACACTACTATCTTCTTTCCATACAAAATACCAAAAATGTGCACCATAAAACACTGGATTTTATAATTTGCTTCGTATGTACATGTCTCCAGTACTAAGTGTGATGGTTTGTCATCATACTATCTTCTGTTCTTTTCATGGAAGTGATTTAATAGCATGAGCTGGCCATATGATGTTTGTTTATGGAGATACGCTAAGCTCAGCATCAAATGACACTTGAAAAATTGGCTACCACATGGAATGACAGGGCCTGATTTTGTGAGACATTGAGCGCCTTCAACAGCTCACAAGATCTGGCCCTTATAAAAGTGTATGGAATAACTGCCTTCAATGTTATTTGTCCAGCCAGGAATGTGTAAAGTTCTTTTATGTGCTCCGCACATGAGTATAAAGCAGACCCTAAGACAGCGCAACTAGTATATGATTAAGACTGAGCCATTCTGGTTTTTGTGGTCACTGATAAAATGAAACTGTTATGGATGGATAAGTATGTTTTTCTGAAGTTTACAGGGCTTTTTTAAGGAGGCAGAAGTAAGGCTGTTTGAGTGCCTTGTTTGAGAAGTGCAACTTTATCTATGGATTTCTAATTATTTTTTTCATATGTTCTTGAACGGTAATATGCACTGTCACCACTAATATATGCCTGCAACCTTAACTACTTGATTTTGAAACAAGTAGGGGAAATACTTAGCACAATGTAACCCAACCCAAGCATACCTATTTAATATTTCTTAGGTGTCTTGTCTTCACAACTTGTTCAGCATTTATTGGATCAAGGCCCATATTATGATTTCATCTAGCCTATTATAATTAATTTTAAAGTCCTCATTGCAATATTTAAGTTTGAAAAGTTTGCATTTTGCACAGTATCTACTAAGTAGGTAAAGTAGCAGGAGAACATGTGTAACCATCTACAGCAGAACAAAGTTTGCCAGATTGCTTGAAAAACATGTCAAGTTACATTACTCTCTAGTTACTGATGAGCTTCAGCACTGAAGCCAATTATAGTGGAGGTCTGAAATGCAAAGCTCTGGTGCATAGTAAATGTCCTTCTTTGTCAAGTATAGTGGGGGATTTACTGGAGAAGGCAGCCATATGTAGCAGACTCGTGATTAATTTAAGGACAGTAAGATAGTTATGTCAGGCATGAAGATGCTCAAATGTAAAATTCCAGTTCTAGAGAATTTTATACTGTTTCATATGCATTCAGAGATATCTGTGGAGGGTTCTTATGCTCATAGACTTTAAGGTCAGAGGGACCATCATGATCATCTAGTGTGATATCCTGCACATTGCTGACTACAGAACCTCACCCATCCACTCCTAACCATAACATATACCCAACAGGATGGCATGGTATCCCTTCCAGTGCTATGATTCTATGTCTAAATGGTTCCCTGATCTCTTTGCTGCTGATCTCCTACTCTTAGCCTGCTGTGCTGTCACCTCTCCTCTTGCGCTGCCTATATTCTATTTTGTAGAATATAATCCCTGCCTCTGCTATAGCTGCTCATTATCATAAAATAAATCAGTTGGAATATAAACATTGTACTTACTTCTCAGTGTATAGTATATATAACAGTATAAGCAAGTCGTATGAAATTTTAGTTTGTAATGACTTCGCTAGTGCTTTTTATGTAGCCTGTTGTAAAACTAGGCAAATATCTCAATGAGTTGATGTACCCCTGGAAGACCTCTGCGTACCCCCAGAGGTACACGTACCCCTGATTGAGAACCACTGCAGTAGCTCAAGTGTACTAACTTGAGCTAACTACTCCAGTGACTACAAGACTTAGGATTGGATGTGCTCCCTCTCTGCCTGTCTGTCCTGCACTTTTGTCTCCCTGATGGAGGGCTCTCTTGGGACCAGGGGTCTGTTTCTGGGGAGAGTTGCTGCAGGACCCCTTCTGTACAGAGTCCTGGGGTAGCTGACTATGGCCTGGTCTACACTAGGAAATTAGGTCAGTATAACTATGTTACTCAGGGGTGTAAAAAAAATCCACACTCTCGAGTGACGCTATTAAACTGACCAAACCCCCGGTGTAGACAGCGCTAGGTTGACAGGAGAATTCTCCCCTCGATCTAGCTACCAGCTTTTGGGGAAGTGAAGTACCTCTGCCAAGGGGAGAACTCCTCCCCTTGGCATAGGTAGTGTCATCACTGAAATGCTGCCGCATTTTAAGTGTAGACAAGCCCTATGTAGGATTCACTGGCAGGCTAGCTGCACTAGAATGAGGATGCCAGAGAACTGGTGGACAGGAGTCAGCATGGAGATCAGTGCCCTCGTGCGGATAAGCTGTATCTCCAGCAGATGTCAGGGGATCTGTGCAGTTTGGGGTGAATTTCCTCTGCATCTGCAAGGGGGGTGGGCATATAAATCTCATATACACCTCTACCCCGTGTGACAAAGTTCCTCCTCTATCTTGGTGGGTCCTGCACTTATTGGCGGATTTTCTTCCCTCAGAGATTCACCATGTGGGTTGGGGAACAGCCCAGAGACCTTTCCCTCTGGAAGAACCCACAGTCCAGGTCAATTGGGAGGTTTGGGGGGAACCCAGGCCCGCCCTCTACTCCGGGTTCCAGCCCAGGGCCCTGTGGACTGCAGCTGTCTATAGGGCCTCCTGTAACAGCTGCTTGACAGCTACAACTCCCTGGGCTACTTCCCCATGGCCTCCTCCAAACATCTTCCTTATTCTCACCACAGGACCTTCCTCCTGGTGTCTGATAATGCTTGTGCTCCTCAGTCCTCCAGCAGCACACTCTCAGCTCCTTGCGCCTCTTGCTCCCAGCTCCTCACACTTGCCCCACAAACTGGGGTGAGCTCCTTTTAAAACCCAGGTGCCCTGATTAGCCTGCCTTAATTGATTCTAGCAGCTTCTTCTTAATTGGCTCCAGGTGTCCTAATTAGCCTGCCTGCCTTAACTGGTTCTAGCAGGTTTCTGATTACTCTAGTGCAGCCCCTGCTCTGGTCACTCAGGGAACAGAAAACTACTCATCCAGTGACCAGTATATTTGCCCTCTACCAGACTCCTGTACCTCACTGGTCTGGGTCTGTCACACCTGATATAGCACGACCCGATATAACACGAATTCGGATATAACACAGTAAAGCAGCGCTCCAGGGGGGCAGGGCTGCGTGCTCCGGCGGATCAAAGCAAGTTCTATACAACGCGGTTTCACCTATAACACGGTAAGATTTTTTGGCTCCCGAGGACAGCGTTATATCGGGGTAGAGGTGTACCTTGATTTGGATAAAAACTCCATGAAGGGAACCAAACTATATTTTACTCCCTGTAGGACTCTCCACCTCCACCATGTCTCACACATTCACAGACAGGTCTTTTTGCAGGAAAGTAAACTTTGGTTCTCTGTTTGTAAAATGCCAAGAACATTGTTAATGCTCATGACGTAGCTGGGATCCAGATCTCAGTGTGAATTTCACACCTGCTGCTTTCGCTTCTGTCTGGTCTTAATGCACAATACTTTATTTCTTACAGTAACTATTACAATTACTCTCAAATGTTTCCTTTTCAATAGATGTTCATTAAAGTGCGACTGATCAAAAATGTGGCTGCATAAAAATGGCAACTTCTTACTCAACAGATTTGTTCCTTGTGTGTATTGGCAATAGTCATATCTGTTTAGATGTGTTACATAACTTCCTTGTACTCCTGTTGGCTCTGCAGAGCTAACATAGCTCTGAGAGGGTGAGCTGGATTAGATCCTGGCTCATGGATCAACAGTAAAATTATTCCAATTTAAGAACCTTTATTGCTACTGATGATGCTTGATTCAGAGATTCCAGTCTGAGTTTGCAGCACAGGTAATTAGAAGAAGATAGTTTTATTTGTAAACTGAACACATTTGCTATGAAATTAATAAACAATGAACCTTATGCTGCCACTTTATAGTCATTTTTTCAGAGTATAATTGCAGGTTATGTAGCGATTCACTGCTGGTGCATATAGCTCAAATGCTATATTGAGTTCATAAAGCAATGAAACCCCCGGTGCTGTCTAAAGT